CCACAACCAGGCTGGACAAGCCTTGCACTGTGTCTTCAGCTCTTCCAGCTGAGTCTGCCCCTTTCCTCGAGTGCAGATGATGAAGTGCTTGAGAAGTGATGTGTATTCGTTCCCATCCTCCAGGGTTCTTCCTCTGTCTCTCAGAGCCTTGGAGAGATCCAGCAGCTCAGCATTCAGCAGCAGCATTTAAACAGGTCACTTCAGTACTGAGGTACCTTTTTCCCCCCACCCCCTTCCTTTTTGCTACTTTGGCAGATTGCCTTGTCTGATTGGCTGCATTTCGATTCATCTCTGATATTTAATCTCCTCCCTGGAGAAAGATGGGCAGGAGAGATGCTGTTGCTGCCCTGAGGTAGGAATCAAGAGCTGTAGAGTGTTATTTCATTCAGTCCGAAAAAGCCCTCTAATAACACAGAGGACGTGTTGTGCTGTAGTGAAAGGCGGCTTTGAGAGATCATGTAATCTGCCCTTGCCTGGCCTTGTGCTGCCTCTTGCCGTAGGACTGGAATCAAAATACCATCTCAGGTACTGCAGCCCAGTTGATTGGAGCTGGTTCAACCAATTCCATGTCTGTGTTCTGGAGAAGGACCTTTCTCTCTTCCTTCCCCATCCTGGTCAGATGACATCCAGGAAACTCAGAGTCCAGATGAGAGATTCTTCCTTTTGCAGGGAGGTGACCCTGTGAAGGAAGCGATCAGCTTTATAGCAAGTGGGGGTGGGTAAGCTAAGGATGTTGGAACAGGAGAATGATGGGAGGGAGCAGACAAAATGATGGGCCCCATGTCTCTTAGCCAGAAGGGTTGTCAGGGTCGAAGGGTTGGAATATGGATGAGCAGCTGTGAGACAGAGGCTGGAAAGAGATTTTTTGCTTGTGCTGAATAATGCTTGGTCTGTTGGCTGCCTGTGTCTAGCTGTATGCAGCCCTATGGGATGAGAGCTGTGCTCTATTGTCCTTCCTCTTTCTCTGTCCCTTGGACCTTCCACTGGGTTAATGCCTGTTAAGGCTGAGCTGTCTCTGGGGCCCCTCTCTAAAGGGACTGAGGACATTGACTGATGTTGTGCTCTAAGATTTAAGGCAGTGGGTTTTGGCATCTTCTCTTACCTCTAGAGAGGTGTTTCTCTTTCTGGTTTGTTATCAGAAGAGAGGGGTGGGAGTACCAAGACTTGCTTGGGCCAGCCTTTAGTGAAAGAGTGGGGATCAGAGTCCTGATACAGGTTGAGTTCTGCCAAATGAGACTTTCTGTGCTCCTTTGTGTTGCCTGTGTCTCTTGGTAGAAATGGAATAGGGTGAGAGCTCCCACTGGATGTCTTGATTTCTCCTGGGCCATATCTCTCCAAGGTCATTTATTTGCAGTTGCATCCATATGGGTGGTGCCTCTGCCTAGCTGAGCTCTTGGAAGCCCACCAGGGGACAGACCTCATGTGACTATGAAATACAGAGATTTTATATAGCTATTTAAAATGCTACTTTTTACCAGGATATAGCCTTCTGGGGCACATCTGTGAATGGAGCCAAGTCCTGTGTCCTACTTAATTTCCTCTGACCACTACTGTCCTAGTCTAGCTTGCATATCAAAGGCTTTTTGAGAGTTAGGGTCCTGTGATATTTTTCTACTCTAAGTGCTTGTTCCTGTTTGGGAGTGCCCTGTCTCTTCAGGGAATGGTGGAAGGAGGTAGTGCCCTTGCCTTGGCTGTAGTTGTGCTCTCTCCTGAAGCTCAGCACAATCTTCACTGCCCCAGTGCTTCGAAGGAAGCTAACTGCAGATTTATTTACATGACGTGGGTGGGTATATAATAAAAGGAAATGAAGAAGCCCACACTAATAGCAGTGGCTTTTGTTTGTCACCAATAATACTGTGAGTCTGGCCTCACTAAAAAGCAAATGCTGAATGGACAGCTGCCATCCCATCTTGGGCTCTGGCTCTATGCTTTTGTCTGGAGAGTGAGGCAGAGTCAGGCCCATTTGCTCGCTGCAGGTCCGGCTGCATAAAGCGGTGGGAATGATGCGATGCTCTTCCCCAGGAATTAAGATTAGATGAGGCACGTGTTTAACCGCGGTAGGTCGGGCTCTCCAAACATTCTCAGGGTAAGATCCCCTCCTCTTTCCAGATGGTGAAATGTCTCTGAAGAGTTCTCACTCTGGATAGATTTTCTTATTTAACTGCTTGGCTTCTGCCCAAGGGAGTCTGTGTGGCCTTATGGGAAAAGACTTTTAGTTGTGCAGTAATGGTGTTGTGCACATTTGAACATGCATACCCAGTGGATCATTCAGCTAGGGATGAAGTTGCACTGTTGACCACAAATGTTTGTGCCTATGCATTGATTGCACTTATCTGTAAAGTTATAATCCTTACTCAGTTAAAGCTTATGGTATCATACATCTGCTTGTTATTTTCTGTCCGTGCTCTGCAAGGCTCTGTTAAGCCTGTTACCACCTCCTTCCCTGATGCATACTTGTCTTTATCATCTTGTGCCTTGCACCCAGTTGGAAACTGGCTGTGCCACTGGGCCGTGCTGCCCAGCTATGCTTGTGGGAAATCAGTGATTTCCTCAAGGTCTGGTGGCTGATGGTGGTGGAACAGCAGGGCTGAGGACTCCTCCTCTTTGGGTCCAGAAAAGATGACAATTTTTCTGTGGTTCTCTGAAAGGATATATATGCTATGTATCTGCAGGGAGATAGGCTATATCTGACTTCCAGGAGAACTATTTTACTCCTTTTTTCTTCAAAATGGATGGGAGGAAAGTTGGATGAGGAAGGAGGAAGAGCTCTGAGAATTAAGAAATGAGGATGGTATAAGATTGGTGAGGAGCTGATATTAATCTAGGTTTGAAATTAAAAATGTTTCCCATTTACTGTGGCTCTAAGGCATGGAACGTCTTCCTTCAGGGACAGAATGAGATCAAGTTGCTTGGTGGGGAGAGTTTTATCAGTTTTTGAAGAGGGTTGGTTATGATGCTGTCTGTGCTCACAAGACTTTGACCCAGTGTCATGGGAAGTCCTCCCTGGTGTGTGTGTCTGCCTGTGTACTGTGATTCTCAAGGTCTGTTTGGTGTCTCAAAAGCCTGTTGGCTCTGCAGGTAGAGGAAGTGCTGTGTCAATATGAAAGTATTGCTTCAGATGCCATGGGACTTATGGGTGGAAAGGTGCCCTCTTATTCTGGGGAACATCTCTCTGGAGGTTCCTGTGTCTTTTAAAGGGATGTGTCACAGGTAGCTGACACAGCCATTTGTTAATCAGCTGCAGAGCAAGGATGTTAGGGGATAACATTAGAATTAGCATTAGTGATTGTATCTTGTAGATAAATTTGGTTAATGCTGAAGCATGACTTACCAAAAGTTAATATCCTTAACTAGCTGAAAGAAGACAGGGTTACAGAGTTTGTATCCTTCAGGGGTGAAGAGATGAGGGAAGAACAGCAGGCTTGGAGATGCTGAAGTGGGGGACAAGCTTTCCTTTCTTTTGGCAAAGAGGACAAAGGAAATCAGACCTTTTGGTACAGGTACACAGGGTGGTAAGGAGACCACTGATATGGGGAAAAAGTTCCTTGGTATCACTGCACAATGCTGTGTTATATGTCATGTGGTGGGTACCCATAACCTCATGGAAGGGGCCATACAAAGCACACCTTTAAAGCTCTGGTGTGCAAGTATCCTCCTCCCCCAGGTGTCTGTCATGACAGCTTATGCTTTGGGACTGTGGTAGGGGTGTTTCAGTCATACAGGCATGCAGGAATAGTCTGGATCCAGTTAATGGGCCCCTGCTCTGAGAAAGGTGGTATGAGTTTGATGTTTGATATTCTGGAAAAGCACCCTTGTGGTGTAGGATTTATCAGGGCTTCAGGTAATTTTCCAGTCCTACCCTAAAACCTGCTGTGTGACCTTCAGGAAACTCACTGTCACCTGTGTGTGTCTCAGGCCTTCCTCACTTCTCCTTGTTCTCTCCATGGCAGCATCCTCTCCTGCTTGGTGTCAGTGCTGTGGCCCTGAGCCTTGAGCACAGCCCTGGTTTTGAGGTGATAATAACTTGAAGCCTTTGCAGAAGCTAAAGCTTCCAAAGGGTTTGAGCTTCATCTCATCTGCTCCAGGGAGGCATGTCTGGGAGGGAAGGTGAAGATGGAAGTGAAAGTTTTGGCTGTGAGATGGAGCAGCATGGGGTTTTTAATTCGGTGCTTTGCTGGCCACACGAGGCCCTGAGTCCTGCTGTTGCTTCTCTGTCAGCTTCTTCCACTGGAAACTCCAGTCCCTTTTTCTCCTCTACCTTCGGTAAATAACTGCTGTCTCAAGACCTGCAGGAATGCCAGATGGAAAGCGTTCCCTTCCTTTCAGACTCACTGTGCACACAGGGCTCGTACAGCTTGCTGGCATGTGCTAGTTGTTCAGAGCTGACCAGGCACTGCCTCCTTGGCACGAGTAGGGGGAAGCCAGGCTCCTAGACACAAAAGAAGTAAAGGAGAAGGGATTTGCGTGGCAGATGAATGCAGCCGACATGCCTGTTCTGGCAGTTCAGTGGGTCCCAAGCTGCAGGAAGACAATCTGCTCAGCCTTGTAACTATGATGCTTTTGCCCTGGCCTTTCCAAACACTAATCGGACACCCCTACCTCAGAGCAGCCCTTGGAAGCAAATACCTCAGGGAGGAAAATTTAACCTGCCACAAAGCAAATTAGTGGCATGGTTTGTGATGCCACCAGAAGATGTAATTTCTTCATCCATGCTTGGGCACTGTTAGGTACCACTAATTTTCTGTGGACAGACATACTTTAAAGGGAAGAAACCCCATTCTAACATCCAATCCAGCATCAGCCTTCTTTCTTTGATATAACCACTTACAGTGGGAGAGCTTTCAGAAGGAATGGTAGCTGGCAGTGGTGAGAATGCCTACAAGAGAAAAAGCAAGGTGTGGAAATGTGTTGGTACACAGGGGGGGAGTAATATGGATTGCAACAAGGTGCCCAGAAGGGCACCTGTGTGCTCAAAGCTCTTGTTGGGAATCCAGCAGCTGTTGGAGGAACTTTGGTAGAACTGGAGAGACAACGTGAAGAGTATTCCTAATCTGTGACCTTTGTGGAAGTGGCAGAAAGAGGACTTGTCCATCACTGAACTATTTTCAAGCAGCACAGCTCTTAGGTAAGTGTTTCTGGAAACACAATGGGTTTTCCTCTTGCTCTGCAGGATCCCCTTGCCTTGATGATGTAAATGAGTTAAGGGCTAAATGGCCTTGTGGTTGGTGCCACAGCCAGCTTGGCTTCCTGCAGGGCAAGAGACCTCTCAGCTTTCAAAGTGATAGAGAGGTGCCCTGGGGCATAGTGGGGAGGGCTTTGCAATAAGACCTGAGCTTTCACTCAACAGTCCCCTACCCATGGTGTCTGGGACATGTATTGCACATGCTACAGCCATGATCGAGGCCATATGGGTGCTCAGACTTGGTTCCCCTTCACTTGTCCTGTCCTCAGCTGTTGGGATGTGGGTTTTAGGTTGGTGAGTTTAGCTCAGGTTCAAACATGGGGCGGGGAATGAACTCACCCATTTCTGCCTTTTTGCAGGGCCTTGGTCCGACAGGCTGTGCTGCGCTGTCCAAGTTCCGGAGTCCTGGTGCTGCTCCAAGGCCGCCAGCCTTGCAGAGGAGAAGATGGTTTTGTTTAGTTTGCTTATATGAAGAAAAAAGTCTGTCAAAATAGGGATTTGGAAAGGGGAGGGGGGAAGCAGGAAGTCTTCCTGTTGGCATTTATTAGATGGGAAATTAATGTTTTATGTTCAGGGGCCCTGTTGGATGTCAGTGCTCAGGGACGGTGGTGTGGTGAAAGCCTCCTGACTTCTTGAGTGCAGGGTGCGAATGTGATCTGGAATAAGCAAGAAAGGGCTAAATATAGAAGCCGCTGGCTCCCATCCTGCAATGGCGGCTCTGCCCTCGCTGCAGTCCTGGAGGCAGCAAGTTCTGCCTATTGTTCCGGTCACATTCTTGTGTCCCACGATGGGGCCTCTGTGATGGAATAAAATGAAGAGAAACAGATGGGAAAACAATAACCCGAGGAACAGGCCCTGAGCTTTGCTGGAAGCTTCCAAAAACCCATAAATCCCCAAATGCATTTGTGCTGGATTAGGGAACTGAAGCAAAGCAAGGGCCAAGTACTTGCCTTCCTGTATCCCATGTGCTCTTGTTGAACAGACAGCTCTCTATGGGGGCTCTACCTTGCCACAAACTATTGTAGTGGAAACTCTGTTTCCTTAATCTTTTAATTCTGGCAACTTCCCCAGCTGTCCTTTCTCTGCACTCCATGACCTTTTTGTCTTGCAGGCCCCTGGATAAAGGGACTGCACAACGAGCCAGCCCACCTTTCCATCGTTCTCATGTGCAACGGAGCTGGATGCAAGAAAAACATGGTGGAACCCTTGCTAGGCAGTGGTGCAGTCTCTCTGGCTGGCTGGTAAGTGCTCTATAGAAAGGAATAACCATTAGTGACTGTAAGATTCTTAGAAGGAGAGACTGACTTAAGCATTGAACAGGGAATATGACCTGCCTGAAATACCATGCTTGGTGACCATGAAGGTGTCAAAGTAATTGGAAGTCCTGACCCAGCTGCAATTTGCTTTTTGTTTGTGTTTGCAGTCAGTTCACGATGTTTTCCTCAGCAGATTGTTGTTACCTGTGGTATCCCTAGAGTGTGTGTGTGCAAAACCCTTGGTGAGGAACAGGGAGGATGGATGATTCTGGAAGTGAATGAGTGAATTTTGGTGCTTTCTGCAGAATTCTGCTTTACCTTGCAAAAAGAAAACAACTTGATTACTCACCTACCTGTCTGTGAACTGGCTTTGCCTCACACTCACAACTGTTTCTTTCCCTAATAGCTTATTTGCTGCTGTCTTTTTGAGATGAAGCAGTTTCCTGGGGATTAGACTGATGCTGCAGCTGGGTGAGGGGAAGAGTGAGGCTGTGCTGGGGGAGCAGGGGACAGGATGGGCGGTGAAATGAAATGAGGTCTTAGTTTGAACCAACCATCCTGTGAAACCCCACCTTTAGGATTTGAGTCAGGAAGAACTGCAGATGCTGAAACTGTGCTGCTGCTGCAGCTGTGCTGTTACAGCATGGGAGCGAAGTTGTTTAAAGCCAGAGAGAGGTCTGTATACCAGTGATCTTCATCCTTGTTAAAATTCCCCTTTTCTCCACCTGTTCCTTTCCCCAAGCATATATTCTTTCAGCCACTCTCCTCCCTGATATGTGTTTGCTCTTTCCAACCACTGCTCCATGTTAAACAGCTGTTGCTGATTTGAATGGGCAGATATATCCCTATGCAAGGAAATAAATGGTAAGACTATTCATGTGCTGAAGTGGCTTGGTCCCGAGTTACTAAAGCCAACAGTCAGGCTCATGTTCTGTTTAATGGCCTTTGAATTAGGCTTGATGTTACTCAGAAAGTTGCATTTGCAGGATACAGGTTTTCTGTGTGGCTGATCACTGTGCTAGGGAGTATTTTGTACAGACAGATGTGTACTCTGGGACTGTAATTACATAGTTTATTAACTTTATTGTTCCTTGCATTTGAATGGGAGATTTTTTTTTCATTTAAATTATAGAGTGTTTATGCCCTTTTGTTCACTGTGTATGTGAACCCCATAGGAACCACCAAGTTGCTGCTAAAAAGTGAACTTGAAATCAACACAAAACACTGTGTTGTGCACAGGAAAGTGCATTACTTCCTTTGACCAAGCGTTATGCTGCTAAACCCATTTCATATCATGCATCCCATGCTGTGCTGCAGCACTGTGATGTGCATCAGCTGATGTGCTCTTGTGTCACTGCTTCTACAGCTGGGTATAAGGAGCACACCTAACAAAGTGTATTTCAAAGGCAAGGCCAGTCAAGTGCAACTGGCCACTGCTCCAGTTCATGTGTTTGCTTGTGTCATCGTGGAGGACTGTCCTCGAAAAGCACACCAAGGACAGGGAACTGCTCCTGCCAGCCCTGTGGTGCTACAGGAAATGAATCTTCCTGTTTTGTTACCCACCTCGGTACTATTTAGGGCGAGCCCTGCTTCCTGCTGAGAGCTGAACAAGGGACCAATGGAGGTAGATTTCATGAGGGACATGAGATATGTCCTTCTTTCTTTGAGCTTGGAGCCACTGAGAGCCTTTTCATACCACCTGAATGGGATGTGGGAGGAAGCAGGGGAGGAGGAAAAAGACTTCAGGCTAATTTTCTCTTAGGATCTGAGTCCCAGTCCTGTTGTCTCGGAGGAGAGTGGTTTACCCCACCAGTAAATGACCTTTTCTCAAATGCAAAGTAAACATTTTCTCAGCAGACTAACCATTGTGAAAGAAACAGTAGAAGGCAGGGAGAGATGGCAGGTATCTTTAGATATCTTAGGTCCAGTACTGCAGAGCTAGGGTGAATAACACCAGTGAAGCCAGCAGGACCTCTTTACCTTATAGAGAGGCAACTGTGGAGTCTGTGCAGAGGTGGGGAGAGCAGAGTCTGGCTTACAAAGTGAGGAGCAAGGAAAGAAAAGTCAAGGTCTTCAGCAGATGTGAGCTTGTCTAGCTCAGAGTTGATGGAAAGAGAAAATCCTGCTATTTGCCTTGTCTCACTTCTGAGGTCCCAGCTAAAGCCTTTTTTTTGTGTGTGTGTAGGCACTCTGATCAAATGCAGTTACTGTTAAGAGGAAAAAAAGAAACAACCTCAAACCAGCACATAGTAGGCATAAACAGTTGAATCCTCAATTAAGCAGCTGAACACATGGAAGAAAAATGTTTGGGCTTGAATGAAGTATCCAATTCCATTTGGATGGGATGGCATTCAGTAATGCCACACTGCAGTGTTTTGTTTTGGAAACAAACCAGAGTCGTTTAATCCTTTCTTAACATCGAAGCTATTCTGTAATTTGCAATTTGAAAGTGCAGCTTGGGGGAGCTGATTGCATTTCTCAGTGCCTGTTCCTTGTGCTGCACACAACTCTGGGTTTTTTTGTGTTCACGCTGTGAGAGATGGTGGGAAGGTCTGCCTTTTGGAGGCAAGTGAACTGATTGATTTCACAAACAAAACTAAATGTGAGCAGAACTACTTTCAAGTCCAGAGCCTTACAGACCCCTCGCCCCTCAGCAGTGTAGCAGCTGGGAGGGAGCTGTTAGTTCTCATCTCTGTTATGGACATGGGTTCTTGGCTAAAAGACAACTGGGAGTGAAAGCAGGAGCCCACCTAAACATGCTTGTGTCATATTGCATATATGATCTGACTTGCAGGAATAAGGAAAATTTCCCTCTTTTGTGATTTTTAGATAATATTAAAACTCACTATATCTCAGCTCCTGGATTCCCACCCCATTTTTGAAATCACAGTGGTATAAAGACATCTTCCATCCAGTTTTGGAGTAGATTATCTAAGTGTGCTTTTGCCCTTGATATGGGTAGTTTGGTTTGCTTTAGAGCTCCATACCATCTCAATACTAGTTTATCCTGAAGCAGGAATGATGCTTGCAGTCCCTCAAAGCCTCATTGTGCTTGTCCCTGTCAAATCACAGTGCTGAGCTGGAGGCATTCACTTTTTGGAAAGAGTAGTCAAAGGAGTGACTTGCCCAAGGGGGCACGGAGGTGCTTGGGGATGCACCTGAGAGCAGACAGTAAGTAGCTCTCTTGATGCTGGGGCCAGAGGCTCTGCCATCAGCCAACTTCCACCCTGCTTCCTTGTGGAGCCTAAGCCTGACCTAGTGCTTGTGTTGGTGCCACTGGGATTTCTACTTACAGCCTGGGAACAACCAAGTTTGTTGTTCCTTTAGCAGTCATTTAGTTTTTGTAATGGAGAACAGATAGAAGCAAGTTGAGGCTTGACTTGTTCTATTTATAACTGTAAACACCTAAAGTGCACATGGCTGTAATGCTGTAGCAGGTACAGCATTGTTTCAGCTTTGAGAGATAGGGACTCCACCTTCCTGTTATCAAACCGCACTGTAAATCAGCGTGGTGCTGCAAGCTGCTTCTCTACTGGATAATCCTTTTTTTTTTTTTTTTCCCTTTCTTTTGGTGAGTGAGTGATGCTTAATGGTAGCTTCAATACCATATCGATGATGTGTAATTTTTAAGAAATAGTAGCTACTGTCCAATCCATTCTGCCCCTTTCCCTGTACCAAATTGTCTCTTGAATGTGAATCCAGAAAAGCAGCAGTGAATGACTTCACCAGATACAGAGCAATGGCAAATCCAGGTCATTATATATGTTAGCAATATGAATAGCTTGCCCATTTCTCCTGCTCCTTGTCTCTTCTGACAAGAGTAATGGCAAGTTAAAAGAATTATTTAACATATAATAGATATTTAAAGAAATACTTCTTCCTGTAAAGTGTGTGCATGGTTATCGACATCGTAAGGAAGACCATTTTGTCTTTAACTCTTGAATGATGGGAACTCATAACGCAGTGAATTACACCAATATAAAAGTTAATGTACTCAGCTTTAATATGGATATTTTACTGTTATTATCACCATCGAAAGTGACATCCATCACAGTGACACGCACCCAAAAAGGGAAAAAAAGCCTGGTGTAGTTGTTTCTAATAACCCAAATTACAGAGCTCTTCTAATGCTTTTTTTATAACAGTTTTGCAGTCCTGTATTACCTCCCATTAATGTGATTTCTCTCCTATCTATAAATTTCTCAGGATTGCCTCTTCCTCTCCACTTTCCATAATCGCCATTTATTATCCTCATGCTTCCCATAAAACAAGGCTATAGGTGACATAGAGAGATTGATGCTGACCTAGATACAGGCCCACCCCCAGACTTTTTCTGTCTTCCCCCTCAGCAGTAATGTGCTCGTTACAGTGTTGAGGAGGCTTTGTTAAAAGGTTCAGCTTCTCCTAGCAATTGGTGCTAAAAATAGTCTCATTAGCTGAAACTTTGCTTGATCAGCAGAGGAGCTCTTGGGGAAGAGGTGCTGGGGTGGACTCAAGTTGTAAATAAACAAGAGGAAACTCCATCTCGCTGCCCTGTCAGCTCCAGGGCTAAATCAGACCTGCAAGGCAACACACCAGGAATGTTTTCTGTCTGCGCTCTCTGCTAAAGGAGGCTCATTCCATCTTTGCTGGCTAGAGTAACTGTGTACCTGATGATGATTTTGCTCACATAGTTTTGGGGGTTTTATTTTAATGTTCCCCCACTGAGCCTTTTCCATAGGCAACTGAATAGTCTGCAGACCTTGCAAGGCTGCAGCGCTTGTAAGTGCTCCTGGGGGCCTGAGTACTGGAAAGCAGCCCTCTCTGAGGGACAGGTCTGGAGCAGTCCCTGCTCATTGAAGTCAAAGGATTTAGCATAACCTGCTCTGGGGTGCAGGCTGTGTTGCTGTGGCCCTTTCCAAACAGCTTTGTGCAATTCTGTGCATTTCCCTGGAGCCTGCTGGGGCTTCGCAGCATGAGCAGCTCATTATTGCCTGCCCGGGCTTCAAGAAGTGCAGCAGAATGTACTTGTCCCCTCTGCATCACTCCTAGAGTGAAGGGCCCTACCATAAGCGGGGCACAACTGTGGGAACCTGGAGCAGCTGCACAGGTCAGGGATCCAGAGGAGTGGCCAGGCAGTGCCCAAGGAGAAGAGAAAACTACTTTCTTTCCCAAGAGTCAGTTAATTTTGTTTTCTGCCCTCCCATTGCTAGGATAGATTGGCCCTGTTGGCCAACACTGGTGAGGGGGCGGTGGGTTTCTGCAGCTCTAGCTTGCTTGCCCTTTGCCAGCCTTTGCCTTTGCTCTGCTAGGAGACTCTTCTACATAGCAAAAGATACCTCATTATCTCCTGTCCAAAAGGGAAATGCAGCCCATAGAGTAATTATCTCTTCCATCCTTGCTGCCTTATTTCTTACCATGTTAGCATACTCATAATTAGCCACAAAGCCTTTTATTTTCTACTTCTTCCCAGTTCCTGCAGCTGTACTGAACTGAGCAACCGTGGTATATTTGAGATAAAGCTTTACCTCATTCTACCTACCTTGAGCTGAGTTTAACCCTGTCAGCTGGTGAAAATCAAAGGGAAATGTCCAGCTCCCCTAAACAGGAGGAGGCATTGGGAGGGAGTGCATGGCAGGCTCTTCATCTCTCATATCCCAGTCAGGCTGCAACATGAGCCCTGTAGAAAGACCTGTTTTGAGGGAAGACCTTTGCAAGCAATACATGATGAGGTTGTCCAGGCAGCTGGCATGGACTGCCCATGCGGTGCTGCTAGGGGAAGCATGTAGTCCCTGAATTGTAGCTCTATTTTATCTTACTGGATTTTGGTGGAGTATGATCTCTGGTTCATTCAGGGAATTTTTGTAGTTTACATGTGTTGGGTTTTTAGTATCCTTACTTTGTTTTTGTCATCATTAGTAATGAAAAAAAAAAATCAATAAAGAATAACTCTGAGCCTGCTTAGGTTAGTCTGTGAAGAGCTTACGCTGAATGCCATATTATTAATGAACGACAGGCTTGATTGAACCCTGAAATGTTGCTTGTATGACCAATATGTAAAGCATTTGTATGTATGAGTATATCCAGCAAAATAAGGGGTGCAGTAGCATTTCTGAAGGCCCTCAGTGGCCACCAGTCAGAACATCCTCCAAAATTTGTTGCTGATTCAATTTACCTGGGCTGTTCACAGGAGAGGCTTGTTTTCTCCACCATTTTTCCTGCCTCTGCCCATAGTAGTGGTGGGAGAGCAGAGAGCATCTGGAGTGGTGACTGGTAATTATCTGTCACACTTGTGAGCCTGATCATGGGGCTGCCCCTTGGCTTGGGGATTCTGTGTGACTTTGGCCATGCAGGAGCAGAGCCAAGGACCTGTGACTGCCATCCCAGAGCTGTGAAGGCTGCAGATGCTTCTGTCAAACTGTGGTCCTGCAAAACAGGAAGGTCCCTCTTCCTCTTCCTCTTCCTCAAGAGTCCGGGAAACCAGCAGAGGAAGAGAAATCACTGTTCACAGACAAGGATTAGCACAAGTAGGTGGGCTGGGAGGCAGCTGGGCTGCCCCTGTTCACCTCAATGCTGTCAGCCCTGCTCTTTTTGACCAGAGATGCATAAGCTTGCTGGCCCCCAGGCTGCAGGCAGGGGAGTGTGGTGGAAAGGGCTTGCTCTGGCCTCCTTGCCAGAGAGACCCCGCTCTGGCTCAGACTACTGTGCCTGTGAGGCCCCTTGCTGCCAGCTGTACATTGGGGCGAGGGTCTCTCCATACAGCAAGAGATTGAGCAAAAAAAGGAAGTGTCTGCAGGCTGGGTGGCTGCCTGGACTTCCTAAGCAGTTACTTGAGCTGTATAGCAGCAGCAAAGAGTATGTCGTTACCGTATGCTCATTTGATATGGTCTCTCCATGATCTGCCATGTGGGCTTCTGAGCCCAGGCAGGAAGAGTAGTTACTGTGCAGCCAGATGGTTTCTTTTCAGGGAAATTAATTAGCTAGCATCGACTGGCCCAGCCCTGGCATCTGAGAAACAAATACTTATGGCAACAAATGAGGTGTCAGTTGTCCCCTCCTGAGCCCACTGAAGGAGTTCAATGGACTTTTCCTCAGGCCCTTGGTACCTAGATGTTGTGTGCTGACATATGTTACCTGTCTTAGTTCTTGAGGTGTCTGTTGAAGCTTGTGTGATGGACATGTACGTGCATCAAGGGAAGATTGACCAGATTTTGGGTATATTTTCAGGATCCCCTGCATCTGTGAGAAACAGCTCTGCTGCCAACTTCACTATTCCCCCTCTTCCTCCATGGAGGAAAGACTTCTGAGCCTGCTGAGAGTTGCCCAATTGTGTGGGACAGTGGCAGGGATGTGACTACAGAGAAGTGCATATGCTTGTCTCCGGAGAGTCTCCACAGCTCTGCAGAAGTGCTCTCAATAGCTACCAGTAAGTAGGTCTTTAGAGTATTAATTTCTTGGGTCAGACACTGTACAGCTCATGCCTTGTTGGGCCTTAATGAATGGGAAATGGCATCTGGAAAGGCTGTAAACTTGGCTGTGCTAACCAGATGGCACTGAAGGTAGAAAATGGTTTTAAAGACTATTCTTTCAAGCCATGGCTTGATTTGGAGATGTTGAAGCTTGTGTGATGGGCACGTAGGTATGTTTAGGGAGGATTGACCAGAGTTTGGGTACGATTTGAGGATCCCTTGACTCCATAAGGAACATCTCCGCTGCCTACTTCATGATGGCCTCTTTTCCTGCCATGGAGGAAAGACTTTTATCGGGACCACTAAATTAGGTGCTTCTGCCAAGCTGGAGATTTTATGGCAATTGCTGTATTGGGAAGAAAGACTAAATAATGTCCTTGGAGTTTCAGAAACAAAAGATTCAAGTGACTGACGCCACAGATTTCCATGTGTTTTCTCTGAAATCTGTGCCCAGTGCTGGAGCACATGGACCTGTCTGTTCAGTTCCTCACTCATGGGCAGTGAGGTTTAGTTTCTTCCCTTTGTGCAAGTCTCCTCTTGTTTTCTGTACCCATTTGTGACCTTCTTGGGAGGGCTGGAAGCCCCAGGGTTTTCCCTTGAGGGATGGTTGCTCATCCTTGAATAAGATGTTTACTCTTGCCTGTAATTGCATGGGGCTCGAGCAGTGCCAAACCCTAACTGTGCTTCCTTCCCATCTCATTGCTTTCATGTAGAGACATGGGTGTGTGAATTGCTTCAGGAGGTTCAGGTTGTGGCATGATAAACTCCATCTCCAGGCACTTTCCCAATCTAGTTTGTCAGGAGCAGGTTCTGCTTCTTGTTGTCCGTTCATTGCAATCCCCAGTGTACATCAGGGTCTCCTGGATTTCCTCCCCTGACCTACCCACCTCTTGCTCACAGTACATTTGGGAACCAGTTACTGGTTTTAAAATCAGAGGACAGGCATCCTTTATTCAGCTTTGAAAAATGGGGAGGTTTGGAGCAATGGAAGGAAAAGGACCATGTGTCCGTTCCAGTATTTATTTTTCTTGTTGGAAAATAAAAACATTTACCAGGCTGCTTTAAAAATTAGCAATCCGTAAGCTTGGTTTTCATTAAAAAGACACTCACTGTTTTTCCCCTGAGGATTTAGTGACATTTTTTAAAATTTCCTGCGCGGAATAATTGTATTTTTTTATCAAATTTTGTTCTGACTTTGTGACTGCAATAAAGTTTAGGAAACTATTATTTATTATGGGTTAAAAAATATTCTATGAATTTGACTGCTTTCCTTGACTACTGGATTGTACTGTGATTCTTCTCCCAATTGCAAAACAGCATTGTAAATGCTGCTTTCAGACTCTGTGGGATATTCCCAAAAAGGCTTGGAGAGCTACTGTCTCTGTCATCCATTGCTCAGCTCTGTTGCTGGGACCCTGACAGAGAAATTTATGGATAGATGCCACAGGGGGAGAGAGAAGGTGGTATCTCAGTCCCCACCTCCTTCAAGGTCTATCTCTTTTCTTTCTCTTCCCCAGACTCCAGAAATTGGAAGTGTTTGTTTCTAGTGTTTTAGTTTTACCTTCATCAGAGCTCAGTGTTGGTCAGAAGCTAGGGAGTAAGCTTCTCTCCAGGCCTTATTTTTCTTGAGATGTCTCTTCTTGTAGCACTTCAGAACTGAAAAATAAGGTGTCCTGGTGAAGATGTCAAAAGTCTTCCCACAAAGTGAGCCCTGATACATCCATATTAGCAGACTGCAGAGACTGTTTAGCATTGCTTCATGGATGGTGGTAGCAGGGAGAGAAGAAGGTTTCCACTTGAAAGAGTATTCTCAGAAAATCTGTGCTTGCTTTGGAGACAAGAAGTTGAACTTTGGGGGTGCCAGAAGTTGAACTTTGGGGGTACCAGAGAAGATCTGGAGATGGTGAGGAGACACGAGACATCTGGTGTTTGCTGTAGCCTGGTCTCCAGCTCCCTAAAAGCATGTGAGCAGGAGGTCAGGGGAATACCTAGAGATCAGGCATCCTAAGGATCCTGTGTCCCTGAGTTCTGACCCCCCACACTGCATCAACATAGTACCCATACCCGCACCATGTATGTGCTCCTCTTAGATAGAGAGGGCTGCTTAGCTTCCAGGCTTGATTTGTTGCTGACATGAGGAAGTTATGACTGTCTTCCAGGAGCTTCACCATGGCTGTCAGGTCATTGATCAGCCTTCAGGTAATGGTGGCTGTAGGCCACTATTTACCTCAACTAAATCTGAGCTTTGGGCTGTTGGGTGTGCAGTACTCACCTTGTTACCAGTCAGCTGAGCGTACAGCATGATCCTGTCTCTTACTAGAGAAACTCTCAGGTACCCTCTAAGGCACCTGAGAGATGGTCAGGTTAGGTTAACAAAATAACTGCTGCGTGGACTTTTTCTTCATCCTTTCCCAGAGGGGCTGTTACCTTATCATTCTCCTAGGACACATGGTGGCTTTTCATTTCGCTGAGGTCAACTGATAGTGGCCTTAACCTACCAGAGAACATGGATTCCTCACTACTTTACAGTGAGACTGGAGGGCTTTTAAAGAACATGCTGCAGTTCATCCTTGGTTATGGATTATAAGGCAGAAGTGACCAAGGAAAATCTGTGATGCATCGTACAGGAGGAAACTGTGAGTTGCTGTTAAACCTAGCAGAGGAACAAATGACTGAGATGGAAGACCATAGAGAAAAGAGCCTAAATGCATTTATCTGTTTCTATTTGTCTCTGAAATGGATGTCTTAAGGCATGAAATTATTTTTAAAATCCATCTGCCTTTTCAGTTTATGGCCTGAACTTTCATAACTAGATGTACAAATAATGCACAAAAAATCTTGACTGTTCTCCTGCATGTTAAACTGCTGCAGCCAGTGTAATTGCTTGCAAATATTGTGTTCAACAGCTAGGGAAATAACGGGTTTGCTCTGTATTTATTGCATTTCACTCAGCTTAGCTACTGTGCAAGCACCTTAAGTCAGCTTTGCTTCATCTCTCTCATACCCTTAACCCAAACCTGCATTGTTTAGGTTCCTAGTAGAACTGGTTGGGGATCTTTTGAGATGATTATTTGTTAGCAAATGCTGTGTTATGTGGATGATGACTTTTAACAGAGAAATTTAAATTTTGGTTAGAATTTTTGTGGCTACCTCTTGTATACAGAGACACTTGCTCACTGTAGTACGGCCTGTAGTACTCAAGCTAAGATGTGAAAGCTTCTGTCTCCAGATCCTGCCCCACTGATCTTCAGCCTCTTTCCCTCTAGATATGTGGGTTTGGGTATGCTTGAAGCTATAGGAGCCCTTTTCTTTTTTTGTCTTTTTTTTTTTTTTTTAAAGGGTTTGAATTTATGCCACATCAAATGTTAAATAATCAGTCCCTGAAATACATTGCAAAAGTCAAATATTTTTCTCTGGATGACTTTTAATTCATGACTGATGGAGACAAAATCCTTCCAAGAGATTAAGCAGGAAAAATGGTATCTGCCCTTGGATTGTGAAAGTTTCTGTCTCCAAGGGGGCTCTTTTAGACTCCTCTCAACACCTGCCCACTGTTGCAACTTGCAGTGAGCCAAAATGCTTCTTGCCATGACTGTGTGGCTATTCGAGAGCCAGGCCTGGACAAATGCATGAGGTTTTTAGATCTGATTTAGCAGTCGGTAACCAGTGCCCAAAATCATAGCACAAATTGAAGAACCTAAGAAATCTGGGATTTGGACTGGTAGAGCATGGTTCTGCTTGAAAGTTTGGTAGCATACGGGAAACTGGAAGCAGCAGTTTGCCTTAATTCCTGCATCTGCATTTGGACAAGGCTTCTGGTTGACAGGAGTGAGCCCAGCTGGTCTCAAGAGTGAAATCTTGCCTGTTTTTTATCTGTGGGAGGTAAAAGCTGTATGTACCATTTTTACTGGTTTTGTTGAGAAATAAGTCTTTCACCTCCAAAATAGAAAAGCTCTCTTGTGTTTATGTGCGAACACCCACAAACTGGAAAGGCCAAATCTCCTGCTTTTCTTGTCCCCAGTGCAATTTGTTGGAAGCTGCCTTTGCTTGCCCACGTCCCCAGTTTCACTAAAGGGCTGTGTTTGCAAAGCACTTCACGTCTGACCAGCCAAGCTCTGATTTGGATTTATGCACAGATTGTTTGAAGTTCAGGCATAAAACCTAGAAGGGTTGATTTTTATTTTGTTTTTAACTTCTTAAGGGGGGCTGGGAGTCCATGCTGCCAGAATTGATTGAACTGACTTGATACATCTTCTCTCCTGAAGCCAGATGACAGTTTTAAACCATCTTTAAATCAAACTTCTGTGGTTAAGATTTACTGTGAGCTTTTAACAAATGAAATGCAAAATCTGGTGCTTTCCACGTTGGAAGACTAATTCTTGAATCTGGCTTCCTGTGCATTGACAGAAATGTGGGGCTTTCGGGTATATATTTATTTGTACATGCTTCTGAGCCCTGCAGCAGTGATAGACACTTTCAAATAGCCCGGCTCAGAAAGGACAGGTACCTTAGTTCTTGAAGACAGATCCTGTGAGCTTTGTAAATTTATGGGAATGAGGGTCCTGAAGTGGGTGAATGGGACAGGTACCTATAAATACAATGAGCCAGTCTTGCACACAGTATAGCTACATCTAGCTTTATAAATAACATCAGCCTTTTAGGTTTCCTAGGAGGTCTGGCAGTCTTACAAATGAATGTGCTGCTAGTTGTCTGAGACCAGACATCAGAAAGCTGTCCATGAGTGCTGTTGGCCCACTGTCTATTTTTCCCTGCCCCCATTCCCTCTCTCTTGATGGGGTGTTTTTTGTTTTTGTTTTTGTTTTTTTTTTTTTTTCTGGTTTTGGTTACTGAAACACAGACCCTGCCTGGCCTGCAGTCTCTCACTGTTGCTTGCTGAAGATGAATGATTCATCAGGCCCAACCTGATAAAGTTGTGCAAGCCGGTCACCAAAGTTAATCAGACCAAAAGGAAATAGAGGAGGGAAGGGAAAAACAAAAACAAAAGGCCTCAGAGGTAGTTCTGAGTTTCAAACGTCCCCTGGGAATTTAAAAATGCATATATAATGTTCTCAGCCTGGTCTCTCCATTCTCCTCCAGCCTTCATTGGGAAATCTGAGAGCAACCCAGGCGATCGGTTTTAAAGTGCAACTTCCGATGTTGCAATGCAGAAGAGCGTGATTCAACAGGCCTCTGACTACCATCCGACGGCTCATTCATGGCGCCTTATTTGCTAATAGTGCTGGGGAGCAGGCGGCTGCGGTTGCAACCTGCTAATCACTTCCACTCGGATTTGTTGTGTCACACCAGCAAAGATTGAGGTGAGGGGGCCGAGGAGCTGCTGACATGAATCATGCGGTCCTCTGCTGTGTAATTAGGAAGGAGCCCTGTGGTTCTCAGTACACTGGTGAGATTTCTCAGGCCTGAAACATAATAAAGACTGCCACCCACTTTAGCAGTGAATTAGCATCATCCTTGCTGATCTTGAAAGAGGCTGAGCACTCGCTGGAGGCCTGGTTACTCGGGATCAGGGGGAAGTGGGGTCTGACCAGACAGGGCGAGGCTGATAGATAGGCCACTGTCATAGTGGGGAGGACAGATGTAGGAGGAGAGTGCCTGGGGGTGCTCTGTGTGAAGGCCATCATTCCCTACTTGGTGTGTGGCTGCAATAGTCCTGCTCACGTCCACCGTGTGACTAAATGAGACAGAGTTGCACAAGTGGTTGCAATGGGGTGTGCTTCTCTCCTGCCTGTTTGCTGTGGTGCTTAAGGGGTTCCCAGGGTGCTGATTCCACATCTGCAGCTGAAGAACATCCTTTAGTTTCTCTCAGCTGGTTGCAGCAGTTTAGTTGGCAGTCGGGTGCGGTGCAAGACTTGCCGGCTTCAAGCCCAGTGTGGCCACAGGCCCCTCTGGGCCACCTGTGCTGTTGGGGGCTAGCGAGAGAGGATGGCCATTACAAGTCACCTTTCATGCCAGTCGTCTAGCCATTCTATGTATCCTTGGTGCTTTTGGCTTCAGGAGTTAGTTGAGCTCTTAGTGAGCATGAGGAAATGTGTTAAACCCTGAAACCTTCACACCACCAATGGCCTTGTTCCAGAATGAAGAGACTAATTAGTCAGTGAGAATGCTTCAAGGGATTTAATCAAATTGTCCTGTGATTCTTTCTAGCCTCTGAGTCTACATTACAGTAGAGAGGCATTCCCTTTACTCTCTCTCATTTTAGGTTAATTTTAGTTCAGTTCAATTTTGGCATATTTAGTATTTAATGGTATTGTACCAAAATAACATCTCCACAAAATTTTAATTTAGAATTAAGTTCCTGTGATATTGTCATGAGAAAACCACATGCCAGACTCTCAGCTGCTGTGAATCAGCAACAATCCATTGATTTCAGCAGGGCAGCACTGATTTATTCTGACCAAGGATCTGGCCTACCCTTGCTTAAAAGGAAAATCAATTTCCTCACCCTGGTTACTGAAACATTGCATATCAAGATGGGATGTGTCTAAACTCCCTCCTCCTACTTTTCACCACTTGGGTCATTCTGTTTGTGTGTTCCACTACTTCTCACTTTTTGCTGGGGCAGTAAAACTTTTCTGCTGGAGATAATTTCACTCTAAGTTCACAAGCCTTGGCACAGATGAGTTTTGGGAGGATGGGTTTACTGTTACACTGAATATGAAAAATTAGATTATCTTCTGCAGAATAAGGCTTCTGGCTGTAATGTTTTAGTTCTTGTACACAACCTTTATGCTATACAAGGTGGGGGAAGGGGGATGTTTCCTACCATTTTCTATTCTTTATACGATCCTTGAAAGAAGCCAAGTGTTGGTGTGTGATTGCACTCTTCCAAGTCAAAGAGCACCTGAAGATCTGGGTACCTCTTGAAACAAATTAGAGGATTTCAGACTGGCTCTTGTGCAATTTCTCTGCAAAAAATACCTTTCATGGGCTAAATGAAAGTCACTTCATTTTTGTGAAAAAGCATCTGCTTTCCACAGCACAGTTCTATTTTTCTGTTAGTGCTGTCAAACTGCTTTGTCTGAACATCACAGCTGGCAGCTGCATTATCCACTGCATCCCTTCCTTATGAGGGCATGTGAGAGAAGGACCCCAGCTCTGATTTCTGCTCCAAATGGTCCCTGGAGCTCTTATGCCTGGCTCAGGGCAGGGTGACCCTGTCTGTGCATCAATACTGTCCATGTGTTTGACAAATCCTGTTAAAGTTAGTGGCTGCTGCCTAGGTGACATTGCAATCTCAGCTACCTTCCCACGGCAAAAGAAAGAAACCCCCTTTTTGACGGGTAATAGGAAAAACAATGATATATAATGTTATAGGTTGGGTGTAACTGCCACCCTTCATTTACTACAGTTGTAAGAAATTATTAATGCTCCTTTGTGGAATCAGGGAGCTGAAACAATGGTGGCCTCCACCCCAAGCACACGTCACTGCCCAAAACAAAGGCACAGCCCCAGCCTGCATAGGTGTGGACAGGTTTCCTTGGCTGTTGGCTTGGGAGAGCCTGGCAGGAAAGGGAGGCAGCTGGGGAGAGCCCTGGGCAGAGCAGCAGTCGGTGATTTGTGGGCTGACTGATGGTAGAAAGGGAGTGGAAACCAGGAGCAAATAAACTGGGTCCAGCATAGTGAGAAGAGATTTTGTACCTGCTTCCTACACGAGCAGGATTTCTGCAAAGAAATAGCTGGCACTGCTGAGAGGCAGAATCCACATGGAGTCGACCCAAGGCTCTGGTTATCCACTTGTCTGAAAGAAAGTCACTAAAGAAAATTAAATGAGTTGGAAAACAGAAGGCATTGGCAGGAGAACAGCCTGTTACCGGAATATATTTGTTGTATAGCAGTAAATGGAGGAGCCTGATTTGCCTGGCCCTGTGCAAATCCCGCTAAGCATTTACAAACCAAGAAGTGATGACTGACGCAGAGCAGAGGGGCAGCAGGGGGAGAGTGAAGTGCTTTAAATCTCTCATTTTCATTTGACTCGGTTCCAGGATGACACAGTCCACCCTAGATTAAAAATAACTACAGAAAGGAGTAAAGCACTTTTTTTTTTAATCAAGCTTCATGATATCTTTTGGGAGCATCGCAGGTTTGATTCAGCTTCCTTATTTAGCTTTTATGCTAGCCTGTCATTGGAATTGTACTGACTGGCTGAAGTAATACTGCGGTGACTTCCAGCTGTGCCAAGGACCTTGGGCTGCCTTCCTCATTTTAACATGAAACTGTACAGAAGACTTAGCAGCATCCTTGTTTTTACCCAGAAATGCTTTTCATCCAGAGGTCAGGGACAAGTAGGGCCTAATGGATCAGTACTGGTTTGGGAGTCGAGGTGTGATTTTTACCTCTCAATGAAAGTTTTGGGAGGAGTGTTGGGAGCAGAGTCTGATGCTTGCTATGGCTTTTCATCACTTCTTTCAGTTGCCTTCACAGGTGTGTGAGCAGAAACACCCACCCACTGCCCTTTTGAATCTGGCTTGTGAAAAAATACTGCCCGCATGCAGATTGTAGCCAGATTTGGGAAAGTGGAAGAGAGCTCAAAGATACTAACTTACAGATTTTTTTTTTTTTTAATTTGTGGAAATAAGCAGTAGGTAGGAAAGGAGATCTAATTACTTCTTCACACCACGTTGCAGTGAAAGTGCAGATCTTGTTAGAAAAGCCCCTCTGCAAGATCCTCCCAGAGGTGACAAAATTCTGAGTGACCAGGATGGATTGTTACTGTCAGGGTGCAAAGCTGCTCGAACCTGGGGAGCCTTGGTACAGAAATCCCTGGGACACCCAGTTATGGCACAAGACATCTGGATAGGTTTTCTGACTCCCTTATCTCCTGTCTGCTTGGAATAGGACTGTAAGGAGCTGCCTTGCTCTGCAGCAGTAAACGTGATCTCCTACGGAGTCATCAGCTATGGGTGGTGTGAACTGGTGTAACCACAGGGTGAACAAACCTTTGCCTATTACTGGAAGATCTGCCAGGTTCGGCGGGGGAAAGTTAGCTTTGACGCCTCCTCTCTAAGGTTAGAAGGCAGCTAATAACTCCTTTCCCCAGTGGCGCAGAGCTGATAAAAACTAGAAGTGGCCCAGCCCTGTGAAAGCCGTGGCCTGATCTTCCCGGGCTCCTCAGCTTCCCGGCTGAGACAGGGAGGACAGATGTCCAATATGGTGGACAAACTGAAAGATAAGGCAGAAAGGACAGGAATCCCCCCTTTAAGGGATGGCAAATGAGGAAGAGGAGATTTAGCCCAAATTTTGCCCATTTTCAACTGGCGATATATTATCTCCAAGTAATTTCGTCAACAGAAAACATCAAGTTAAGTTTAAAATGGCTTCTTCAAAAGAATTGGGTGTTTGTAACCCTCAGACTTTTTATTGCCAGAAGTATTTGGGGATTTGAATAGCTCCATACATTTTTCTGTGATACATTTACTGTTTCTGTAAAATCAGATGAATTACCCAGCTCTTTGATGGTCAGGTGGGACGGGCAGTGCGTCAGCTGAGGGTGAGAGGTGCCTTGCAGAAGCTGGAAGCAGGCAGGACTCACTCTGCCAATTCTTTCCAAGCACTGCGAATGGCGCTGTAGTGTGTTAGAAATGCTGCTGTCATCTGAAGGATGTTTCATGCTGCTGCAGACCAGAAAAAAAAAAAAATTTCTAAGAACTCAAGCCTGAATAACATAAATCCATATATTTCTTGGGTTTCTTCGTTATCTTCTTGTGCTGCTTCACAGCACTATCTCTCTCCACCCTTTAGGGTGGCTGCGGTATTTCCCAGTGCGTGAGCAAGGGAGGGTTAGACTCTTCCTTGTAGGGAACATACACTGGCCTTACCTGCTGCTGCTTTGCCTTGCAGGAAGCATGACTTGCACAGATCCTGCTGACTATCTCATGTGGGAGGAAGAAAATATCTTACTCCAGCAGTGAGGTAGGAATTGATCGCTTTTACCTAGAGATGGGGCTTTTCAGTGGAGGGCAGGGCTTTTGCTGCTGCTGCTGTTAGTTGTGATGTGCAAAGCCCTCCCATCAGAGATGGGATCCTTTTGTGCTAGGAATGCACAGGTAGAAAGAGATTGTTCTAAATCACATAAAATCTTAAAATAGATAAGGGGAAAGCTGGGAAAAGCTGCAGAGACTGTCAGATGTCCTTTGGTGGGCTAGTGGCACATGGCCCCTGCAAAGTCAGTTCAGTGTACACAAAATGAGTTTCTCAAGAGTCAGTGCCCAGTGCTTCTTCAACTCAAAATATCTGGTTTTGGCACATCATTGCAATAGTCTTGCACGCACTTGGTGAATGCAGTCAGAGAAGACAGCTGAGCTCATCACTGCTGCAGTGATTTTTTTGTTCTGTTAGTTTTCTGCCAGTTCAGTGAACTGAATTGGCTCAGGAAGCATCTCCAGTGCCAGAAACATCAGTGTACAGGGTAACAGTGGAATCAAGACCAGCCCTTCTGACAGCTCTTAGATTAAACCGGCCACTCTGGTTGACTCGCTCCTGGTGCCTCTTCTTCCCTTCACAGGTGGGTCCCTGGGATCCCTGAATTTCTGCAATTCACAGCAGTCCTGTCCTCCCTGGTGAGTGAAGAAGTAGAGACCATGCTTTCAATCCATGCGGCATGGTTTGCCACTGCTGAAACTGTCTACGTGAAAGCACACAAGCAGGTGGGTAGCTCACAGCTGGAGGGGGACTCCTGAAGTGAGAGAGAGGAAAACAAGGAGTGTCTAGTGTGTGTTCGAGGGCTGTTCACAGAAGCTGGCCCTGCAGTGAGAATTGATGAAGTCTTAACTAACAGTCCTTCATGGCTTTATTTTTCATCATGGATGAGGAGTGGGCTTCAGTCTGGATTTTTTTAATCCGGTTTGTTCTCTCTCCATCCTGGGGTTAAGATTGCAGCACCTCCTCAGCACAGTACCTGAGGCAGCTCTTAAACTCATTGCCAGAGTCCCGCACTTCTCGCTAGAGCTAGGGTTTGATCTCTTGTTCTTCGAGCTAACTGCATGAGGTGGATTGAAATTTCAGGGTTTCCTTGCAAAAGTGTGTTGTTTGTTTCTCATGTTTCACATCTCCCTGCTTTCAGGCAGGCTGTTATGGCTGATACAGCATGAAACTTTGGAGAGGGAAGCCTTTGTAAAGTAGTTAAGGATTAGGAAGTGATGGGTAGGTTGCCTGAGGAGCTTGTGGCATCTGTCCCTGGAAGCTTTTAGGAAGAGGCTGGCTTCGGCCGTGCTACACAACAGTGGGGCCTGTTTTAATGTGGGATGTGAACTTCTTGTTTTTCCACCATTCCTTCACCTTTGCTTCACAAACAGTGCTTGCTAAGGTTAATCAACAATAACAAGTGCTCATGGAATATTGCAAGTGTGTGAATAACCACCTAAGAAGTATTTGGAAATAGCTGCTCTTGGTATTATGGGTTCGAGCTTCCCAACAAGAGCTCCAAATAAGTAAGCAGAAGACGACACGTGTTCTCTTAGCTGTGGGTACCCTCTGCTGAATGGGCGTGGGCAGCAAACCCGTGCAGAAGCTGTTAGTAATCCTTGCAGGCTCTGATGTGGTCACACTGAAACAGAGACTTTGTGTTACATGTGAATGCAAAGACTTTACTTTCTAATACTTGGCTGGCCTTAGAAACCATCTTCCTTTTTTTCCCCTCCTGTTTTCTTTTATGAAACCAACATTTCTCATTGGTTAGGGGTGTTTCAGTGACTAGAGAGGAATTTAGGCTTCCCAGAAGCACACAAACTGTTTTGCTCTTCAGTAGTTTCCCTCCTCTGCATATGGACAATAGAGACCTGGATGGAGACATTCAGAGTCATGAGGCTAAGGAGAGCCACAGGCATGAAAGAAAGCCTCTGAAACAGGATGGAGTGGCAGAGAGGCTACACTTTCTCAAGGGATTTGTGCATTGCATGAAATGAGATGATCCTGCTGCCTTTTCTGCAGCAGGTAATTGCATGTTTTGTGTGTACTTGTTCTTTGTGACCCAGAATGTGTTTCTCTTCCCAGAGAGAAGCAATTTCTTTGCTCTGAGTCTTTTGATTTTGTTCTCTTCTTCTCTTTGTGCATGAAGCACAGGCCAGAGGTGCCTGCTACCCCCTTGACATCTTAGACCGATGCTAGCCAGGCTTTGAAACAGAAGCAGCTGCAACATGGGGCCTCCCCAGCAGGTCTCCGGTCCTGCTTCTGTTCCGCCTCCATGCACACATCCGGAGGAGCCAGCCTGCTTGCAGTGCCATGGCTGCAGCTTCAGCCAGCCAGAAGTCATAGCGATTTGCCTCCTGTGACACTGAGTCACAGGAGAGAGGAAGGTCTTGATTCACTGTCTCATGGGAAATGCTCTGGCTCCAGGCTTCCCTTAGCATTTCCTCTCTTAGACACCGGTTCAGCAAAGCATTTGAATAGAGTTCATTTTGCTGCTGTCTACAGCTCACTGCCCACCCCCCACAACATAACTGAAAATGTCCTTGTGGCACTGATGGTTGTTTCCTGAAGAAGTGTCAACAGTATGAAGCGGAGTTGCTTGCTTTGATATTCCCTGTTCATTGTGAATACTAAAAATACTTGCTAAAAATCATGACTCTGGTGGCAGACATTTTTTTTCCTTTTCAATTTTTGCAAACTCTGTCACTTCAGTAGTGGGAAAATTATACGCATGTATGATGGAGAGAGGATTGGTTTTTCCCCACTGCCAAAAGAAATGCAGCATTTTAGGGAGAAGGGAAAACTTCCCATCGCTTTCATCATTAACTGAAACTTCAGAAAAAGTGTCTATCTTTTATTTTTTCTACCATTTTGGAGGAGATTTTCCACTTTGCCGCCTTCTTGGAGGTGCTGGCCGGTTCTGCCTTGGCTTTGGTCCAAAAGTGTCGCTGATTTGCAAAATTGTCCTGGAAACATCACTAGAATAGCCTTTCCTGTGAGATTCATGCTTCCCGCTGGGCTGATAATGCAGCCGGATTTGGTGGGATTTCCCCTGTGGTGAGGGGAGCAAGGTGTGACTGCATGGCAACTGAAGTCTCAAGCTCCTTCTGAGCAGAGGAGGAATCTGTGAAGACTATGTTCTACTTAAATACTTGAGGTTTTCACACTTGAGGGCTTTACTAGGAGGTATTATTTTAAATCCTTCACGTGTGGAAGGCAGCCTTTAGATTTGTCTCTCTTATGAAAGAAATGTAGTGTTTGGAGTATTGTGCTGGGACTCCAGAGAACTATTTTTGGAAAACTAAGAGTATAACATCGGCCACCTGGACATGGCTGGACGATATTGCTTCACTCTTTATTCCTTCTTTAATCTGCTGTTGGCTCACCTATGGCAGGTAGTACAGCTAGAGGTACACTGATAGTGTAACTTAGACATCATGTGCTCTTATGGTGTTAGTGGCCACTGGGTGCTTGTCTCAGACATACAGGGAGAGCACAGTTCAGACAGTTTTTTTTTAAATTTCCTCCCTTCCCAACCAAAAATTTGGAGCCCTGTAGCACTAGTTGTGCAGAACCAGGTTGGGACTCAGAGAACCCATTCATTTTACATCGGTGCACCAACTGCCATTTGAACGTAATGGTTCTGTGTCATTCAAGGTGATGTTGAACCCCTAAAGCCTCTTTCTAAATCCCTGGTGCGTCCTGTATTCTCATCCTGAGATCTGCTGTGTTGCAGACCTTGCTTTTATGGAATCCGCCAGGCTAGAAGGTGCAGCCTGCTGCTCAGATCACATTTACAGAGGGCTCATGCTAGACTTAAACCCATATTATGTTTGTTCCTCTGTGATGCTTATATTTGTCTTGTACTTTGTCTGGGAATTCAGATTGTGTGTCTTGGCTGGGCTCTGTCGTATATGTTTAATCCCAGCTTCTTTACTCTCCTGCAGGGACTTGCTAGGGAACAGGAAGTAAATGGAGTGTCTTGTAGAGATGACTTGTAAGGAGAGCTGACTGCCAGCCAAAAACCCCATCCAGCTACAAAAGCAACTGTTTCAGCCCAAAGAATTTGTAAGCAGAATTATTTTCTTAGCACCTCATCATGCTTCCTGCAGGAGCTTGGGCTGTCAGACAAGTTTTCCATCCTGGTAGGCTAGGAAACGTGGGGTGCTTATTTAGATAAGTTGGTGAATACTGCTTGGTGATCATTTGGATTAGGGGGCTACATGCAGGTGAAGGGGGAGAAAAAGTCTCGAAGCATGAAAAAGGGAACACTTGGGCCAAATCAATACTGGAGGTTTGGAGTCAAGTTTCAGCCTTTTTCCTATGCCTGCTAATTTCAGGCCCCAATTAGAGCAGGTTACTAACTTTTGCAGCTGGGTCTGGAAGATATGTGTGTGTGCATGCCTCAGGCACAGTAGAAAGCAGGAATTTTCCAAGGCTCTGACGCCCAATCTACCCAGAGGGCTGGCTTTGTCGTGGCTCCAGGGTAGGGGAGGAGTCCCAGCTGTCCAAGCATCAGCCCTGTCTGGAACCTCTTCTACAGTGAGAAGTACCTGGAGTTAAATAGAGAGTGTGTCATTTGGGAGAGACTAATTGGCATAGAAAAGGAGACCTGCTCCCTATATCCGACATACAGATCCAATTGTCAGTTCTCTTATGGAAAAATATCCTCCAGATCTTGACAACAGACATAAGGAAAACAGTTTTGTTTGATCTAACAACAATTTAAATGTAGTGGGCTGTTCCCCTTTGCTTTTCATTCCCCCACTGACCTGGAGTGGGGAAATTCCTAATCTCAACACTCAGACGTGCCCCCTTTGCCAAGCCTCATCTTGCCAACGTGGCTTCTGTTGAGGCTGTGACTGGGAGCACAAAGCCTGGCAGCTATTTTCCAAAGACCGTATCGATGCTTTGCCAGTGTTCAAGGGTCTGCTGCAGAGCTGCTTCTTCAGGGTGCTGGTATGGAGCTGCAGGAGCCCTCTGGGCATGTCCTGGCCAGGGCTGTCTGCCCTCCCCTGCCCTGGGCACACATGCCCTCCTGGAAGGAATGTCTGAACCATGCAGAAAGCAGCTCTGACACAGATTACAGCATGTTAAGATAATGCCAGTTGGTGCTGTTTGACTGCACTGGCTGCTTCCTCCATTGTGTTGTTACTGTGTGGGGTCACAGCCTGTTCATGATGCTGCTGTTACAAATATAGTTTCCCACTGTGATTGTGAGTGACACTGCTGTCCTGGAGACAGACTGTGGTACTGCAGTTCACAGACAGATCTGAGCTCTCCTTTTTCTGCTTCTTTATGCCTTTGCAAGGCCCATGGAACTCTAACTTACATTCTCAAAATTTTCAATTTACAGTTTAGTCCTAACTGCTCCTGTTGTGCCCTGCATCAACCTCCAGATAGGCTGTGTCATCGGACAAGAGACCTTTCAGCTGGAGAAGTCTGTTACTGTTCAAGCTTGGCCCAAACCCTTAACTAAGGGGTAAATCTGTCTTTGTTTCTCAAGCACAGCAGTAAGCATCAAGTTCAGGGTCGTGGATGGCAGCACAACCATGTAGTGCAGAGCTGCTAAGGGGTATGTGTCCTCATCCCTGTCCACATACATGTCCCCATGGGTAATGGTTACAAAATTGTTTCTCTGCAGCTTCAGTGACACTTGTTTTTTATTGCATTCCCTTATATTCATAATTTTGGTTGATGATGGCAGTAATTCACGAGCAATGTTAAAAGTAGTCAGCTG